AATGATGATAGAATTTACCAAAGTTATGACATACCATTGATGAATGAATGAAGGTTCTTCGGGTATCATTTTTCTCGTCTGCATGGCATGTTTTCGCCACCCAGAAATAAGCATAAAAGGAAACGTATTAAGACAATACTATTGTTAACTAGTTCATCAACGAACTCATAAAAGATAGTTGATTGGCCGGAAGAAACTTTTGGTTTATTTCGCGAACCTTGGGTTCATATAAGAGAGCTTTGTTGAATAACTCTCATTTTTGCTTCCTTGAACAAATATTTACTGAAGACGGAAAAATTCCGCTTCTTTATAGGCGGTGAGAGAAAGAGTGGGATTGTTGGAGCCCATCGGCTCCGTTTCCCATATAATCGTGTGACATGCTCAAAACAAATAGGTCCGACGTGAATAACGGTGCGGGTTGCACTTGGGTAAAAGTTAACATCCGGAAAGCAAAACGTAAACATTCAAGCTCTACTTTTGATTAGAAATATCCCAGCGCTATTACAAGCAAGAAGGAGAAAAACCAAGTTGTTTTAGTTCTTGGCCTTTTCAAGTCGCCATATACGGAGGTCGCTAGGTGTTCTAATGGCGAATTATTTAAACCACATCGTACATGATTCAGGTCATTACCCTACTTTGCACGATTTTCAATGAGGAATTGGGACTTATTCGTACATCGGTTGTAGAACGAATTTTCCGTTCAAACGCATCTGATGACATTCAGCTCGAAAAACTCATCACGCCCGTGTATACAGGAATTCACAGATACCGATCACATTTTTAAGTGTTGCGTTATTGAATATGCCATGGAAAATGCGAAGCCCAACGCGTCAAAAAGAGGAACGTTTTCTATGTGCCACTGTTTTAACGATACTGAACCCTTTATAAATTCCCATAACTCAATACTTGGAATTCCCGTGTAAACAGCCCTAATGTGAATAATATCTAGCATTCATCCTCAGTATCTGTCAAATGCCTTGTCACAATTTTCTCAGGGAACATACATGATTTTACCAAAGAGCAAAACCTTCAGTAAGATAAAGAGAAAATCAAAACAGCTACCATCTATAGGCAGTCTCACTAACATTTGTAACTGCATTTAGACAGGAAACCTTCTTCACATACATGTAAACGCTGATCACCAGACCCTGGGGACATAATTCTTCAGTGCGCGAAACTCGTCCTCCAGGGTGCCACTTCATAACACCCGGTATTTTCTGCCTAAATATAATCCAGGCTCGCGTTACACGCTAACCTCTGTACTGAACAGGAAGATAAAATGACCTTTTTATTGCCACATTCGAATAGCTCCACATGTCTCCGTCTGCAAAAAAATGGAACTGAGTTTTTCAACTGGTTTGTAAGTCGTTTTCTAAAAATGATTCTCTCAAGGTGCCACGATATTCTAGTTTGTCTCCATAAGGAAAATCAACTATTTGTGGCCAACCATAAATTCCTCACAGATCGAGAAGCAGTTTAAAATTACTCTCCGGCATATCGCAATCCATCCTCAACCGCAATCTCACCTGAACAAACCGAATCGCTGCAGTTTTCTTGAACTTCAGACGACCCGCGTCGATGCGATCACTATTATGTTGTACTCAAGTAAACACTTCTTATTTCCTCTCATCCTGGCACACTGGCTCATCTCTTTCTCTAGGCCCAAAATGTATCGAAACATGCACTTTTCAGGAGAATATTCATCTTTAGACAATTGAAGTACATACTTCCCTTTATTTGAGATAAAAGACACGACAGAAACTGAGTAAGTTGCGTTTTTTATTGCATAAATTTGACAGATCTAGGACAGATTTCTTGTTTATATTTATTTGCAAACGATATGCTTTGAGGCTTAGTAATAAATCGCATATCACAGAGATTGACTGGGTATTCAGGGATGATTCACGTCAGAATCAGCCTCATGATACTTGCTTTGAAGAGAAAACGAACGTAGGTAAGTGGGTGTGAAGTTTGCAACAGGAAATGCTCCACAATTTTTTGCTTGGAAAAAAGGAAGTTTAAAGGATACAGATACGTTGCGCAAACCTAGCAAAATGGCTGGTCGCCTGTGTATCAGAGGTTGGTTGCAGATGCGAAACTTAGTGAAAATCTGGTATCCGCGCGAAACGGCCGGGATAGAACCCACAGATGTGGACGGAAATGGTTCGGTCACTAGAATACCTTGGAGTCAAAGACACCATAGTCAAAGAAAATCCGAAATATGGCAAGTACGCCGGTAGACCTCCTTGCCCTACTCAATCGGATGCCTTCCATATGTCTGACTGAACAGTATATCTGATGTTTTGATAGATCACTTGCATTTGCATGTTTATTCGTAACATCTCTATGTAGTCAAAAGTCTCGATTCATACGGATTTCACAGAAAACGCAACGGTAATTCATATTAGATCGCAGTCAAAAAATAATATGACCCTGTGCAACCAAAATCTTTGGTATAATGTCACACACCCAGTTGAGAGATTTTCCCAAACGTATTTTTATCCATTGTTCGTGGTAAGCCTGAGACAAGCAAAGCTTGGTTTTCGATTTGCACTTTGGGGAGCTATTGTTTCACATGGAGGCCAATGGCGGTTGACCACATTTCGGTTAGACCTTTTGGGTGGTATTTTTGATAACCTTCCTAAAAGTTGCATTCTTAACAACCTTGACCGTAGACTCCGATTTGAGGATTCTATGAATGAAGTTCTCTGTAGTGCAAATTTGTTTTAAAAACACGCTCAGATCGGCACCCGCTGTTCAGCTGATCAAAAAGAGAGTGCGAATCGTCACGGATCTGGAACGGCCATCAAATCGAGCAACATTGATCTGAAACAGACCGGATGGCCTATTCGTAATATGTGCAACTCTCAGACGTAACATCCTAGGTTTTGGTACAAGTTGTATTTCGTCAAGTATGAACTTTACCGATGATTCCTAGCAAGAATGTATCATTTGGCAGTGCTTCCATGAGTTCCAGTGTGATATTCACAATCTACGTTTTGAAGCACAATTAAAGGCTATACTTATGTTTTTGATATATCTAAGACGTTAAAAGCTTTTCATTTCTTAAGTGTCTCCCACTCACGAGGTTTCCCTATGGGTAAAGTGTTTTGTGGCTTCAGGATAAAATGTGATATAATCGTTGGTATACGCTAGAAAAAAATACATAATCCTAATCAAATCGGGGCTGTTAGCGAGAAATCCGAAGTGTATAAGCGTGGAAGTTACCACTGAATTCACTGTTATAAAAGCAGACAGTAAACGGATGGATTCATCTTTAGTTATGAGATGCAGAATTCAAGTTTACACAATGAACCCCATCTTACGTAGCCGATTATCATCAATACAAGTTTGGCGGAATTATCTGTCTACTAATCTAAAGTTGTTGTGCTTTTCATTTGAAATTGAATCGTCTCATAGTATATGAAACACTCGCGACGACTTTTTATATGGTGGAACCCCAACTGATGTTTTATTAAGTTTCCTCTTGGACATTATTTGCATAAAATTCTACCAAAACGTGCATATTTGCTAACCAAAAATATCCAATTGTGATTCTGTAGAACATTTCACATGTGAGGTTTGCTGCTGTATTTCCCGCATCGCGCAAACTTTCAGAAGCTCCGCTGTGCATCTGATTATCAGATCAATTTGCGAGGCAGTTATTTTTGAAGCAGCAGTTCGGATGAAATCATGTATTATATTATCAGTCTATCCTGTCCAAGCTTATTTGTCACGAAGCTGATTCAAATTCGCAGTACTTGTGAACTGCACTGGGACCCAAACTGCCGAACGCTATGCACATCCAAAATTATTTTGTGGTTATGGATTTTCCAACTGCCAAATATTCCATTTCATAATTACTGTTGGTTTCGTATCAAGCTTCTATAATCAAGCATTTTTGAAATTTCATTATGGGTGCGAGAGCGCGGAACCCATAAGTATCACTAGACATTTGGCGATGTCGGCGAAACAGTAGGTAATTTTGATTGGCCTGTCGGCTTTCTCGATGATCCTTTCTTCATACAAGATGAATGCCCGAATCACAATAAGATACAACGAGAAAATTGTACGCTAGTTTGCACTTGCTTAGAAGGAAACGTCGGCCCACATTTCCGAAGATGGGAGCTTTTTCCGATCTGATTTGCCATCCCCCGACTACAAGGTTATTCTAAACGATCGGCAATTGCTAACCTGAACTGCTTTCCGTTGAATAAAGGAACTCGTGCATTATGCAGGCGGATTACCATGACACCGGAAAGCAGCAAATGGGCAACGAATGGAGACCAAGGAAGGCACGCGAACTAGCACTAGAGTACTAATTACGGAAATAGTATGGACGGTATATATTTGGACAAGCATAGCAACCAGGAGTGAAATTTCAAGCACACTGTTTACTTATTATATGAGTTTTGAATGTTATTCAATTACAGAGTTCCATTAGACAAATCAGTGTCGAAACCGATTTTATTCCTTTCATACATGATGCGAATTACAACGAAGGCGGTCCCCCCTCCCTCCCCGACTTAGTATATAAAGTCGTCAAATCCCGGAATAGAATAAATCATGATTGCAAGATGATGTAATTTATGTGGAAATCCATGTTGTATTTACAATTTTGTCGTGGACTGAATTCACTGTGTGCAATGTTTTCCTCCGATGGACAGTGCAACCTGCTTGATCACACGCATGATTCATCCAATCCGTGAGGATCAAATTAAAGGAGGTGAGCGTTTGCAGACAGTGGTGGTTTACCAATAATTATTCATTCAAAGCAAGCCTGAGCGCGTAGGCGTTTTATCTGGGAGCCAATAAAACAACACTTCAGTTAATACGCTATGTTAATTTTTTCCAAGAGTCCGTATTGATAGGCTCGACAAAAACAGGGACATATTGACTATGTTTTCCCACCACGAATCAGACAGAGGGGAACATTTGGCTCATAAGTTGATCAGTTTCACTTACGTTAACACTCCGACATTCGATCAATTCACGCAGAAATGAAACACGACAGCAAACTAATGCACGGTTTTGACATTCGGTTTGTTCAGTCGTTACAATGTTTCACCCATAAACTGATTATCCTCGGATGTTTATGTCTTTTTGTTCATGGATGTGAATATATCAGGAAAATCGGGGATGGTTGTACTAGAGAATGGGACCTTTTCGATGGATATCCCATTGAACTTATCCAACAGGCCTCGGAGTCGGTATCACATGATTATGTTGAAGAACAATTCCACACTAAACATTCACGGTTTGCAGGCTACACAGAAATAACGTGGAACAGTGAGGTGAGCAATTTTTCTCATACACGGGTTACTTCTACTAAAATCGTCTGCCTGATTGAGTACTGCCATTTGTCATTAGGGACGTTGAAATGTGTTGTATAGTTTCATTCACATTCATATTGTAGTTCACCAAAACATGTTAGTTAGCACACGGCGTTTTCTTCATGTCCACAAACAAATCACAACTGTGAGTATTTATGGGTCTTTCTAGTCGATGGCTCTTACCACTTCACTTTTACATGTATGCGCGTTGCTCACGGTGGTAGGCGACTTGGCTGCATTGATGCGCCGAAGGGCATACACCAATGATTCGTGTGGGTTGAAACTATTCACGACGAGTTTTTGGATTGTGGTACGAACTGACGTCCGCAGAATCTCTCGGACAACACGATTGCATAACAACTCGGCGGATACAGCTATTATCACAACTTGAGCAACTGTATAATTTTCATGACCTTTCGTTCTCTAGATAGCACGTTATTTGTCCAAATGGTAGTCTCAATGTTTTCCCTATAATCATGATTGTGTGACGTGATCGTGATCTACCCGTTTTGTCTTTTATCAAGGGAAAATGCTAGATCTACATTTGAACTCCATGACATGATGAGTTGAAATGTTTAATCTGAATGGACTATTGAATCTGCTTGACACTGGACGATAAACATTCATTTGCAGCAAAAACCATCCTATTACCTGTTGGAATTCCAAATATTCAGTTATAATGGGAGCTGGCCGGAAAATGGAACAACTCACTTTTACACATGCTGTGGTAAGTTAACCAGTTCCTCAGTTTTCAAAAATGGTTTTCGTGCTTTCATCCAAAGGTTCGTCATGGAGTAACAAAGTCATCGAATGCCATGATAATATTGTGTAGCCTTTTCTTGATTGTAAGAAACCATTGCGGATTGTTATGCCTGAAAGTCTACTTCGAAGGGTGGTTATAACAAAAAGCAGTGTAGTTCAACGAAACACTCTGGAAAAAGCTTGATAGAAATCACAATAATTCACATTGTGTTTAGATCCCAGAGAAGGTTTAGTCGAAACAACGGTTTCCTTTAGTTAAGCAAATCGTTGCAGTTTCGAAAAATGTTGCAGTCATACTCGAATGCTTGCTTATCGTACACAAAACACCATATTTCATAGCTTGAAAACAGCCAAGAGTGAACGTTATGTGGTACCACGTTTCCATTTCCCGATGGATAAAAAGTTCCGCGTTGTATGTCAATGTAATAATCTGTTTATTTTTACAGAGAAAAATACTGATTTCGCCAGGAACAATGGAACCTTCGACTTCAGTGGGACAAATCAACGTGTGGTATGTTGTAGTAAGTTTTTCAATTTAAGAATATATTTTTTGTTTTTTTACTCTCTAAGCCCTAGTATATAATAAATTTCCATTTGCTCAAATAATTAGTAAAAATCTGTGTTCAACAATTGTGAAAACCTAGTGCCCACATAGCCAGATTAAAATTTATTTTCCATTCGGGTGGTCACAATTCCTCATCTTATTTCAAACAAAGACAACAATTTTCCCCTTTCCTCTTGTTCAGACTTTTACGATCCTGTGCGTGTTGTTGAATTTTATTGTATACTTTTTACATTTTTGATCATAAACATCAGTGATTCTGTTTCAAAACACGAACAAGTTTCACTACTTCTTCAATAATATGTGCATACGTGAGGATTTCTCAGTCCTCGCAAAATGATTCCCCACTCTTCTGTCTTTCCTTTGTTCTTTGTATCTCTTCCATGTTCACATTACCGATCGAATGAATTCATTGGAACTGGGTGGTGTGAAACACTTTCTCCCCATAAACACACTCTGCTGTATACTTTGCACTTGTGTACGTTATTTTCCTGTCGACCACTCACACTTTGTGGTTCAATAAAAAGGCTTCCTTTCACTTTGGTTGAATGCTAGTTTCGTCATTGATCTTGCATCGTTGAAAGGCAGCAAATTTACCAAAGAGGTAGAAAACTAATTGCAGTCCAGCAATTAGAATCAGAAATACTGATATGACGAGTTCTGTTTTAAGAGCAAAAGCAAAGTACAATAATTCCCGCATTTGAAAATCAAACTCCATAGATGAAGATACAGGAATTTTCGGGTTAAAATGCATGTCAAGGTGTGAGCACAGCACACTTCAGTTCAAGAGTCACGCTGAGTCAGCTGTTGCTTATAGAAAATCGAATTGCAAAAAATACTCCCAGCATTTACTTCGGGTCAAAATGCACTCCTGAAACTAGTCCCAGTACCGATGTTTTTCGATTGATGAGACAAATATTTGACCCTCTATTTACGTCGCTCACAGTTCGTCGTTCAGTTCAAATTGAAGCCTAATCGCCTTTCATGTAACTGCGTTTTTCACCAGATAGGTTGCAGATAATACACTGGTAAGCGTATCACGATGTCGGTGCAGCCAAGTGAAAGAATAGGAGAACTAGAAGGGCCATCGGAAATCTAATAGAAATTCTTGAGAAGAGACACAGTTTACCATCGAAGGATGCCGTTACCATGTTCATAATAATTGCCTGTTGGCGCGGCAGATGAACAACAAGCACACGAAAATGTACATCAAAGAATCTGAAATCGTTTGCTCAGTTGGTTGAAACCTTCCGGAATCAAAATATCTAATTCAAGCTAGCAAAGTCTCAGGTAAACCAGATGCTTCTACCATTCTGTGTTAAGCAATAACTCAGAAAATCTACTCTAGAATAATCTTGAAGATCTGCAAGCAGAATCTAGGTCAAATTTTGGAGATATTCATCGGTTCATGATAGCTTGAATCGTCTTCTTGGTCGCCAACATTTCATCACTATTAGATTTGATATCATCGATGAGCATCAAGTGTATTTATTGGCCACAGATTTCACCTTCGTACAGGAAAGCTATTCAAGAAACACTTACTCACTTCGTAGCCTGAAGGCAAATTGGTGTGCCTTCGCATACAATATAGTTCTCGTTTCCCCGGCTGAATTTTCAGCCTACCAACGGTAATCATAGTCTGAACTCACCTTAAGAAGTCCTAGTTTTGAAACAGAATACACACATTTTATAAACATCGTGTTGATCAAAATGGCCTCCTGATTAGCAGATATGAATTTTGCATATGAGAGCAAGGGTCAGGTGAATTTCTCGCCATTGTTCGCTGAAAACCAAAAGATGAATTGCAAAATGGGAACGCAAGTAAGGGAATGTGAGTATTAGTTTTATCAAAGAACATTAGGAAGGATTCCCGGGCACCTTTCACCAAACAGATGATGCACTTTCAACGCGATCTGTGAGATCTGTGAGAAAAAGGATCATTATAACCACCATAGTTGTAAACTGTCCCAATAACATGCGGTCATCGCCTATAACATGACCAATTTAAAGTTTATCGCATCAATGTGATGACCAGTGCAGCTGATACTTGTTTACCTACTCTTTGTAAAGCTTATCCTGATTTGCCTTAATCGCCCCCGAGGAAAGGTGCTGTGAAGTTATTTCTCAAAAATCGGGAGTGACTTCGGTTTCCAGCAATGCTACTTTGATATAGGGTATTTCCATCATACAAGGTGTTCCGAACAACCCATATAAAAAACTTGGTCATTATTGAGTAAGAAGTACACAACAAAACGTTGTCAAAATTTTGAAAAATAGCTCTGCCACAGCACTGTACTTTATCTATGAAAGTGCTAATCAAGTAATATTTTTTCATCAGGTATCGTGTGATTGTTGACCACTCAAGTTCGTATATAATCGGTTCGGGGAGTGGGAGGTCGAAAATGGAGTGAGCGAAGCGTCGTCTTCTTCGGTTCCGGTAAAAAACCAGATTACCTTTTCGATCGGCAAACAGCTAGTTGGTAGACTGGAACTCTTGGCTTGAAACAGTGTAAAAGCTTTGCCTAAAATCTCATCCCTCGCAATACAGTGTAAATAACAGTGATCGAGAGTGAGTAGCTGTCATGCAATCAAATTCAGCCTTTAGCGGAGTATCCTTATTATTATGGGCTGAATTGATGCGAATGATAAACCAAGTTGCACTATTGGGTGGTGCAAGATAAAACCAGGTGATTTACATAGTAATTAGGTCGGTCAAAGTGTTAGTGAACTGGCCGACGCCATATCGGTGGATTGTCAATGCGTTCCGCTTGTAAGATATTCGTGTGTATTACTCGCAAGACCTCATAACTCCGATATGTTAGAAACAAGATCATCCTCACCACCGCAATTGTAAATTATCCCAAAATACGAGGTCATCGTCTACAGATTGACCGGAATAATATCAATCACGTCACTGTAGTGAAGAGTGCAGCTTATACTGATTCTCCTACTCGGGGTAAATCTTTTCATAATTAGACTGAATCAGTGCTTGAGAAATGTTACTGAAAGAGATTTCTCTCCAAAAATCAGGTATCAATGACAGCCTTCAACAAAGCTAATGTATTAATGGGTATTTTAATCATAGGATGTACTTCGAGTGAGCCCTTGATGATAAATTGGCCTATTGTTGCGTAAGATGTACTAAACAAAAAGGAGTCACAACACTGGAAATCCAGCTTTGCAACAGCACTGTCCTCTGTCTGTGAAAATGCCAACCAAAAATAATTTCTATCAAATTTCGTGTGACTGTTGACCACTTGAGTTTATACATAATCACTGTTGGGAGTGGGAGGCCATCGGCAGAGTGAGAGAAGCGTCCTCGTCTGCGGCCTCGGTACAAGAAGCATATTATTCTCTCGATCGGAAAACTACATGTTGGTGGGTTGAAACTGTTTGGCTTGAAATAGTTTAAAAGCTTCGCCTGGATAACTAGTCACCACCGATCCCACACAGCGCCCGTTGCTGTAATCAAGAGGGAGTTGCTGTCATGTAATTATTCGGATACAAATAGTTTCAGCCCTTAGCTTACAACTATTACTATGGGCCGACGTGATACTCCTGATGAAACATGTTGCACTAGTGTACTCTGCAAATTAAGACCATCTGATTCATTGAGGAACTATGTCGGATAAAGTGTTAGTGATTTGATGGGCGCCATGTTGGCGGATTGCCAATGTGTTCCGTCTCTAAGATGTTTGTGTGCAGTACTCACAAGAATGAAACACAATTCACTATGGGCAATCAAAATTGAAACTTCTCGAAATCCCTTCCAGAGTTGTGGTCAGTGTTACAAGAGAAAACGAGATTCTTCAAATCAGAATCTGATGTTGATGCATCACATAATTGGGGAAGGGAAACGTGAGGGGGGACATCATTAGCACAATTGTACGGGTTTGTTATAAACCCAATTGGCTGTAACTTGAAGAAGAGTTCAAAAATATACCGGAGCTTTTGAAAATACCGGCAATAAAATCAGTCACGTATTCAACAAAGTTATCATCATGATTTAAAGGACCACCTTAGACGGTTGTGCAACCGTAGTTCGAAATGAGGGCAGCGCACAAATGCGAAATATTCACGTTCATTAGAGGCTGACCGAATGTAAAACGGCTGAAAGTTTCGTAGAGCGAACAGAAGCGGTACATACTAGTGGATAGAAATCCTGAGAACATGGCACAAGCTACACAATGGTTCAAATGAGACAATGTTGTTTATGAAGTACATAAAGTGATTATCTCGAAAAAATGAAAGTATCGTTTTTGTTTGAGGAACACATAAGAGAAAATAGATGACGTTTAAACAGTACCTGCTCTGCTGCGCTCTTGTAGGCAGTGGTACAATGGAAACGAGATCGTTGCGTCAGAGTATCGTCAAACTATTGGATGGATGGATATTATGCTGACGAAATAAAATGTGCAATCAAGTGATCCTGAATTCCAAATGTGAGTGTTTAGTTGGTTGGAGCACAGCTTCAAAGGAGGTGCATCGTCACGCTCTAATTATCGCAGGTATACAAACAGTCCTGATTTGATTTCAAACTCACCACATAGCTTATAAAAGGCCATATATTTACCCTGACATGTACCCGAACGGTTCGTTAACTCGGAAGAGTCACGATGTTATGAAACATTTCCTCGAATCCGTTTACAAGGTGATTGTGACTTTTAATTCAGTACATGTGGAGAAAGCCTCAGGCAAATGTTTCTGGTGTGGATATCATTCTGACGTTTCATTCGCCATAGAATCCTAGTTGAAGGATATTTATGGTAATGTTTGAACATTGGTCGGATAACGTGTGGATCACCTTCACTAATGAGGTACAGACAGAAATAAAATGATTTGTTTACATGAAGCAAGCCACTTAGGGCAAGTTTGTACTGTCTAGTGCTAACGTGTGTGATAACTTATCTCTGGTTTTTGTCCTGAGAGGAACTCGGTGAATTTGCACTACTGAGTATTCTGGCGATGGATACTTTAAGCCCCATCCAGTGCCCATCGAGGATGCTATCCTCGTTGATCGCAGTTAGTCTGGACGGAATCCCATTTGACAGAGCTTGAACGTTGTTTGGGATTGTTAGTTCAGTTGTGTCGACTCTGCAGTGAGGATGAGTTGTTTGTTGTAATGAATAGTGAAGCTCGATACGGGAACGCACCATTGTGTGGTTCGTGCATTGTTTTTCCTCGGGACATCTACCCGGTCGTCCGGACAGGTCTCGACGAATGATGCCCAATGGAAGTGCGCAAATGTTTGGTCGATTTGGCACGCTGTGCTACCGTCGTTGGGATTTGGTTTCAACAAG